CCCCCCCCCCGACATGCCAGCAGGAATTACGGAAGCAGAGGGGAATGAGGCGAAACTTATCAGTTGATCCGCCTCCGCTATTTTAGCTTCATACCCAACGTAAATCAACGCTTGCTGTACCATAATCAGGTAGGAGTTAGTACATCCATATCTACTGACCACACAGGTCGTTACAGAGGGCGAAGTCTGTGTTTAAAAGTTCTCCTATGAGATTAGCACATACATCAAAATGGGATTTGGAGACGCTTGAAAACGCGAATGCCTTGCAGCAGGATATTCATCGGGTGAGTAATTCATACGCACTCCCACGCGCGACACTCTCGACACACAAGCACTTGTGCACAGGATACCTGACAGCTCGAGTGGAGGTCAACTGATTTTCGGAGCCGTACAAAACATTCTGACCGGAGTTATGCTCACAGGGGTGTTCTGCTAAGATTGAGAACTTGCTAGAATTTTGTTCAGTAGCAAAGCGTAGCTCGAAAAACCGCAGCCTGTGGGACCTATCAGTTCCCCTCTTTGAAGAGCCTTGTAGAACTTCCACGAAACTCCTCATAGAGCAGAGAGATGATTATATGCCGCATTAAAACAGTTATGGAACCATTCAAAGCTGCAATTCAGTGCGGCTTTTTAGATCAAACACAACACCTGACCAGTGGGTCGGGGAGCAAGAATATGAGCCAGTCTTACTTGTTGCATGAACCATTCAAAACAGTTATTCTACGATATCTGGAAAGAACAATTCTTGTTAACCTATTTTCTCCACTATAAATTGTGCGAACGTACCTTTTTCTCAGACACCCGGGTCGGGTCGACGATGCAATATCGGTAATGCTACGGCTTCGTTAAACTTCTATGGGATGTGAGTTGAAATGCCCTCTACAGGTTGCCTTTTTTGGATTAGCAAAACACATAAATGGACTGCAAAGTTGCAAATTTGTTCGTGGGAACAGCGGGAACTAAGCTCATATTGGTGGGCCCCGAGGAGTCGGCCGTACGGGCCTGCCTCAGTGAGTTGTAGATGAGTAAGGCAAGGGGCGCTGAGTGGTCTCGTGTTGTTGATGTATAGCTAAATTCCAGGTTTGCAGAAGGTTGCAGCTGAGAGGCTCAACGATAACCTCCGGTATACTGTCTTTTCTTCATTAGCTCTCAACCACCCGGCTGGCTCCGTCGACCATGCGCTGGGCACCCGTGCATAAATGACTGGTTTGCGGGGCAAATGATGCAAAGACTTGTCATTTGAATACGCTGTCAACTCAAAAGCTCTTTATTCGGTAATAAGCATTCTTTCAGGCGGTAATGCTTCCCACTCCATCTACCCAATCTTGCTCGCCGATTCGGCTGACGGTGCTGGTCGGCGGGAGTTGTTGAGTTCGCTTCCTTACCGTCCCAAATTCACCCAAGAAATATTCATGCTTTGTTGTTTCCTCTTTGTTTGCTAACTATCTTCCCAAATCATCCACTGGAAGCTCCAGCTTTTCCTCGAATCGAGGCAGTGGCTGCCTCACTAGAAATCCGCACACTTAACTAAGCGCGAAGGCTTGAATAGCATTATCCTCCATCAGTGATCTTCCATTTATACTTCACCTTTACCAGGACGTCCGTAACTTCACCACTGTCTCCCCTCACTGGAAGGGGGGCATTATTCCCGTCGTGTGCGCCGACCGCTCTGCTCGGTGTCTGCAGTGCGCCTTCGGCGATATATAGAGAAAATCGTGTGGCTTTTTTTGTACTTTTCGCTTTTGCATGGATGCTTGTAGGAGGGAAAGGCTCTGGATGCCATTGTGGATGTGCAATTCGCCCTGCAAATAACAGGCGTTTTCCACTTCACGCAGAACCTTGGCTGTGCTGGAACTCCTTAGAATGCTTCAAAACGGGCATCTTTACACCCCTTTCTTGCCGCTTTTATTTTAGTTTCTTCCGAAGGTCTCTTCGGGGGAGACGCGCTAAAATCGGTTAGAATGGATGCCGAAAACTTCGCGAAGCTCACGGCAATCTTGGATCTCCTCGACCGCTGCAAGAAGAACCTTGCCCAGGCCGTGCAGCTCGAAACGCCGGTGCAGGTGCAGCATGCGCTTCAGTCAGGCCGCACATTGTCCAAGAGGTCCACACGCTCGGAAGGTCTGTTGGGATTTGGCAGTGCAAATGATGGTAGGCGACATTCCGGCGCTGGGCCACATTCCTTACCGCCGTTCCCGTTTTCAAAATGCACCCCCCAAGGACTTAGTTCACAGCAGTATTAAATCAAGAAAAAACTCCTATGAAGTTATGCAAAGAAACAAGTTTCATAGGAGTTTTTTCTTGATTTAAAACTGCTGTGAACTTAGGGCGTATCCATATACGCACTATCCATTTCTTATTCGCAAGCTGCAGGTGGTTCTCTGCTTTGGGGAGAAGTAATCATCTGGTTAAAAGTCGCCGTGCACAATATACTGTGTTGCATAACTCCGGCTTTTCAGGACAGCAGCCAATGGATGCCGTGGCTCATGCCCAGGAACGGCGCAGGACAGTCAATCGAGCTCAGACGCTCCTCTTCAGGAGGCGAACAAGGCTTCGAAAGTCCTTTCCCAGCTTATCGGAGCCGACGAGCAAAACCGTGTCTATTTCATGTAAGGCATAGTGCTGGACATTTCTATTTGCGGGGTCCCAGAGGACCCGGAGCTTTGAGCCGTTGAACCTGACAGCAGCTCTGCAAAACGCAGGACCGGTGTTCATGGACTCTTATGCCAGATTATGTCTTAGAGCTGTACTTAGTCCTGAAGTAGCCAAATGTGTAGTGGCGTCTCGTTTGCTGTGCGAACGCTTCTCCGCAGTAGTTGGGGGCCACGTTCGCTTCGTAGGTGTCTTTGTGGCTGCAGAGATTCGTTCCATTCGTGCTCATCCTTTGCTTTTCTGCTGCGCTGCCGCTGCTTCACAGGCCTTGATGAAGACATCAAAGACTGCGTCGTCAGTCGGGGGATGATGCGCATATTCGATAGCAGGCAAAGCACCAACAAACGCAGCTCAGAGGGCTCGGATTGCGAAGCGGTGAGCGTATGACCATGTGCAGCAGAGTTGTGGCCTGCTGAAAAATAATCAAGTAGATTCGCTGCTGCGCACTCGCATATCCTTCTGTGCGCATTGTTTTGGGTTTACCCTTCGAGCTTCAGTGTACTGGGGCAGTCCCCTCAGTGGGCTACCCGGTGCTGCGCAATCTGCATAGCTGAACTGTTGGCGTCAGTTTCCTCCCGCGTGATCCTTCGACCCCTGTGCTGTGCTTACTCACAGCATAGCGACTGCCTTGACTACATGGCTGAGAAAAGCTTCGGGCCCCCAGACGTTGACTGGGAAGGTGCGTGTTGGTTTCTCTGGGTGGAAAGCCTTTCATTCTTTGACTGTCATGTGGGTGCTCATGGCAGCTGCGCAATACTCCGGTAGAAACGCAGGAGGGAATTGCGGCTGTCACTGCCTGCACAACCTGCATGTGTATGCGGCCAATGCGACTTGCCTCTGCTGGGGCTGTCCGCAGATTCGACTTGGCAACCCCCAGTGCCTTCTGGAAGCTTTGAGAACTTGTCCAGTGACGACTATGCAAACCTGCGTCCCCAGATTTTGGGCCAGCTGTTTGACAGGATCCTCGATTGCCTGCAGAACGACTTCGACGAATTAGTCGGAAAGCTAAAAGAACAGGTCACTCCTGACTCCCCCCACCCCACACACAGGCAGCATGCCACAGATAGTACACTTTCTCGCTCCCCACCAGCGGCTTCACCGGGTGCCTGATATTGGTGGCGGGCTCTCGGATATTGCAAGATGCACGCTTGGGTGGCAGAATGCCAGGTTGTCGCGCTTATCATATCACTCGCAGCATATACGCATGAAACAGGATGTAGTGATGCATATTGTTGTGCCTTGAGGACTTGCACTCGAGGATTTACGTACCCGACACCTATGGCTGCAAATTGCAACATTCACAGCACGAGATAAATGTGCACGCTGTTGTGATACGCAGAATGTTCACTTAAAGCAGGACGTCATCTCACTGAGAAAGAAACTGCAAGATGCGGTGGAGACTAATGACGATCAGGTAAAAAGACCCTCCAGTTCTGCAGCTGTGGAAAAATACATATATATATATATATATATA